CTCTGTAAACACGACCAAGCAGAACCAAGAGCACAAAACAAATCTCGGCTGTGCTCAGACCTCACCCATCCAATAACAATAGTCAAGACAAATGTAAATGAACCTTGATTCACTAGTCTGTCATCTACAGAAGATAAATGGACCAAGAAGATGGAAAATCACGTGGACCTGGTTTGAGAGAATGAAAGCTAGAACTGGGAGGCAAAAGCAGAGAGGAGGGGAGGAAATGATCCAGATTCACCAAATACTGTTCTGCCCCTCTATTCCCACTCATCTGTGAAGCAGAGCTGGTGTCCACGGCAGATCAGAGGCTGTGACCAGAGCCCTGGCAGGCCACACAGGTGCTGGCCTGGCCTCACACTTGACCTTTTCCTCCATGAAGAGGAAGCCTACCTCAGATAAATCTCTACAAAAACTACAAGCACCCAAAAAGTTATTCCTTCTTAAAACAAATATACAAAAATAAAAATAAAAACCAATGTCCACCCAAAGCAAGTGTTTTTTCACTAATTTTGATACATATGCATATTGCAATAAACACCTTTATACTCTGGGCATCTTTCAGAAGTCTAAGTTGGAATGCCTGGGTCATTGATTACTCTGTGTTAAAGCCCAACGTGTTACACCTCTCCTCCACTTTTACTAATTTTTCACTCTTTTTTTTTCCATTTTCACCTTCGAATTCTCTGAAACAGCAATATTTTAAAACGCTAAAATGGTTTATTTATAGCAATCAATACTTGCTTTTCAACCAATTATAATTTATTTATATATTAACAGTATCTCAGCTCCTTCTAACGTCCATATCAACAAGCTCTAGAGAACGTTTGCAATGGACAGTAATGACGGACAGCAATGAGCAGTGGAGGCAGGGAGACTAGGCTCTGAAATTCAGACAGGAACTCCATCTGTCTTCCTCTACCACAATCAAAAGATACCCCTCCCCCAGAACCAAATACGTTATAGATTAGCCGCCCACGGAGGCTGAGGCTATCAATTTTATTTCAGCTAACTTCTACTTCATAGAAGAGCGATTCACTTTATTCCCCGAAATCAGACCTCGATGAGCAAAGCAAACTGTCAGAGGCACACCTGAAAGAACACCTCTGCCCCTCCTCCCCGCCCCCAACATACACAGACACGCTGCACACGCAGGGAAAGGGAAAGTTAACTTTCAAATAAACCTGCCCCTCAGCCAGTCTGACCACGTTTCCAGACCCTTCACATTCTCAAAGGTGGTTCTTACAACTCTTGCTTAAATCCAGAGGCTGAAATCTGACTTCTATCTGCTGAAGGCATTGACAAGGGTCAGAGGTCCACAAATACATCACTCCCCCGCCCCCCCTTTCTTGGCCAAAGTGGTAATAATGGGCCAGGCTTTATTGTCTTTCCTAGGCAGAAGCCAGGCCCGGAGGCTGGTGGGAAGCTCCAGACAGAATGTGGGTGTGTGAATCTGTGCGGGCTCCACAGGGGAATTTTCAGGGAACTCCAGCGGTTTCGGAGAAGGACGGCCATAGGCTGGGACGCAGGCACCCTCGCGTTGTCAGATCCTCCTGAAGTCTGGGTGTATGGGGGAGGGGTGCAAGGGTGTCCTGGCAGCTAGGCTCTCTCTCCCCTCTGGGCCATCCCTAGGCCCTCCCAACACAGCTGGGTCACTCACCGCCCGTTAGCTGTGCAGGGCCGAAGCACAGCGCCAGCTGAAACCACAGGATCACGGCCAAGAGTCTCTGGGGGGACTGAGGTTGCTGCTGCTGCTGCTGCTCTAGAAATCCATCTCCAATGCTCGGGTTCATTCCATGATACATCTTTCATCCACAGAGGGCATCCAGCTTGCAAGGGTCTGCAACCAGAAGCGGAACACCACAATAAGCCAGTCTGTCCGGGCTCGGGGGCCACGCTCTCCCTCCTCCGCTCTGGGACCCGGCGCCTCGGCTTCCCAGGCTCCATCCTGGTTCCTCCCCCGCGCGGCCCCCGCCCCCTTTCCCACGGCGAGGTCCCCCGCCTTCCCCCGAGCCGGGTGCACTGAGTAACAGCCGCCGTGGGATGCTGCGCGTGCTGGGGGATGGAGGACAGGAGGGAGGGCAGGGGTTAGCGCACATTGGCTCCGCGCCGGTCCCCGGGATTCAGCAGCTGTGCCCACCACAGGAAAGTCTAAAGCCTCCCAGCGTCTCGGGGCCGAGAGGACACTTTTCCTTGGGCCTATACATTGCACTCTGGGAATCTCACAATGTGGCACCGTCTCCCCCAGCTACTTCTCTGGTTTTCCTCGGGATTGGGATGGATCCTACTGCCCCAGTCCCCACTGAGATTTCAATGCGCTGTCAAAAAAAAAAAAAGAATTTCTCCCTTGGGGAGCAGCACTAGGCACCAACTCCCCCTCCCCGGCCTGCGAGCGCCTCCCCGGGACGGAAGCCCCTTCCGGGGCTTTCGGTCTTACCTGTGGGTCTCATGCATGCAGCTTCCTTCCCTCCTCCGCCTCCTCCCCCCGCCAGTCTAACCCGCATCTGTGCGCGACCTCTGCTGCCGCCGCTGCGCGAGCGAACGAGACGGAAGCTTCGGCTGCGGCGCCCGGCTCCAGCTCCCCCGCCCGCGCGCTCCCTCCCCAGGCGCCCCCGAGCGGGCGGGTGCGGGGGGAGGACGGGAGCCCGGCCGCGCGCCCCCGCGGAGGGGCCCGCGCGCCCGCTACCTGAACTCGCGAGCGCGCGGCGGCGGCGGCGCGGAGAGAGGGAGGGGGCGGGGACGGGGTGAGGTGGGGGGCGGGGACGGGGCGAAGGGTGCGCGGGCGCGCGAGCGCGCGCCTCTGCCAACCCAGCCGGCGCCGCGGCGGGGCCGGCGACCGGCGAGGGCGGGGACGGGTAAGGGGCCAGTCGCCGCGACCAATGGGAAGCCCGCGCGCCTGCACCTGTCGGGGCGCGAGGCGCCGGCTGCGGCTCTCGCACAAGCACGCAGTTGGGTCACCCCTTCCCCGGCGCTGGACTGCGGCCCCTGCCCAGGCTGCGCGCCAGGTCAGGTGCCCGCCCCGGCCTCCGCGCTGCCTCTGGTGCCCCCAGCCCGCGGCGCGGCGCGGGAGAGCGCTCCGCCCTAGAACTGGCGCCGCGGCGGTGGCTCCAGACCCGGGACTAGTGCGCAGCCGGCCGCTCCCATCCCCAGAACGCTCGCCACGGACTCGGTTAACTTGAGCACTGCCAGTTGCTCAAGTCTCAATTTCCCGCTTTAACCCCTCCCCGCTCCCACCTCCGCCGAGGCTCTGCGCGTCCCCGGGGAGACCGAAGGACAACCTGAGGCAGCTGAGAGACACTCTCCCCCTCCCCCGCACCCTTGGTATTTTCCCTCTGCCAGCCGCAGGCGTTGTGAGTTAGGACCCCTGTCCGGTCTTGGGGATGCGCAGGCCCCTCGGAGCCTCGGCCTGGGAGGCGCTCCCCTAGGCGGGGAGGCGGGGGTGGCGGGTGATCGGTGACACGCAGGTTGGGTATCTGGAGGAGGGGAGGCTTCCGGCGTCTTAGATCGGAAGCCAAGAGGTCGGTGGTAATTGCCCTCCCAGCCCCAAGTGGAGAGAGTTGGCCTGGTCGATCCCCTCTCTCTGCGCCGATTCTTTTGTCGGAGCTCAGCCCGCAGTGGTTGCAGCTCTCACTCCCTGAGGGCTCTGACGGCCCGCGGTCGGTTTCAAGATAGGGAAGCCCACATTCCAGCCGCATTGATTAAGAGGTGTCAGGTAATGAGGTGGCGTCCACCCGCCGCACTTTAGAACCAGTGACACTCCATGACTCTGTAGCAATTTATGGATATGAAAACTATGTGCCTGATACAGCTACCAAATCATCCCTTGCTTCTGTCGACTTTCCCAAAATCTCACATACTGATGGTAGTTGGGAAATTACAGTTTTTACTGTGTCAACTCTTACTGGGAGTGATTTTAACACATTCTTTCAGGATAGATTAGCTTTTAGTAGATAAGTTAAGCTCCGTTATTTTGTTTTTTTGTTTTTGCGTGTGTGTGAACTTGAGATGGCAGCTTTACACAAAATAAACAAGATTTTGACTAGCACAAGTCCAGCTTTGCTACAGCTTGTACTTTGGGACCCCAAAATATTAGTAGGGGACCTTCCACCTTCCCAAGGTCCTGTGACTGTCCTCTACAGTTTGAATATTTATTCCATTTTTCTTTCTTAGTAAATTTTCTAAATCTTTTTAAATATCCACCAAATCAATGACGGTCAGAAATATTTGTTGACCATGCACATGTTCTTAACAGTTGTAAGAGGTATATCCAAGTGCTGTTGAAATCTGTTCTTTGGCTGGAGTACAATCTATTTTTACAGAGAATGTTGGGACTGAAAGGAACGTTCAAGTTTATCTGATCCAAACATGGGATCTATGCTTGAGTCTCCTCTCTGACATTTCTAATAAGTGGTCATTCAGCCTCATTGAATACTTATCAAGGTAGCCTGTTTATATTTGCCAGCAGGTCTCTTAGAAAAGTCTTTCTTATATTGAACTGAAATCTACTTCCCTGAAACCTTTACCCACTGATTCTGGCTCTCCCCTGTGGGCCCACGCAGCTAAATAGAATTCCTCTTTCTTAGGAGAGCATCTCATGGCTTTGGAGATGGCTTCGTATTCCCTTGAGTCTTCTCTTCTCTGGGTCACGCATAGCCATTTCCTTCAGTGCAGCAATTCCCAGACTTTTCACCAGCCTGTGGCCTTTCTCTAACCCAGTTTCTCAATGATCATCCACCCCCAACAATCAAAGTTTGTTTCCAGAAAGAGGCCCTACTTTCGTTCTGTGGGTTCTGACCAGTACAGGCCAGTAGTGTTGCTTTCTGTATTTTAAACAACTTGCTTCTATTAATTCAACTGAAGAAGACAAGCATTTGGAGGGCAACTACAGCATAACATATTGTTATTATTATTACATATGTTATTACTAATCATTTTCTACATTATCCCATGTATTATTTTTGTAGGGCTGCCAAAACAAAATACCACAGACTGGGTGGCATAAACAACAGACATTTATTTTCTGACAGTCCTGGAGGCTGGAGGTCCAAGATCAAGGTGCCAGCAGGGTTTGTTCCTTCTGAGGTCCCTGTACATTGCTTGCAGATTACCATCTTCTCCCTGTGTGATCACATGGTCTTTCCTCTGTTGTGTCTGTGTTCTCTTCACCTCTTTTTATAAAGACACCAGTCATATTCGATTAGGGAACACCCTAACGACCCCATTCTAACTTCATTGCCCTTTTAAAGACCCTGTCTCCAAATATATTCATGCTCTGAAGTATCGGAGGTTAGGGATTCAACCTATAAATTTTGGGGAGGACACAATTAAGCCTGTAACATCCCACAACAAAAATACAGTATATTTTTTAAAGTGTAAAATACAAAACAGAAACATACTCATCATGGGTGAGGATGGTGAAGACAAAGGAGGTCAATCCATTTTTTAGGAGACCATCCAGCCAATGAAAGCCTCAGATTTGAAGTTAAGACAGTTCAGGCCGGGCGCAGTGGCTTACGCCTGTAATCCCAGCACTTTGGGAGGCCAAGGGCGGATCACAAGGTCAGGAGATCGAGACCATCCTGGCTAACACGGTGAAACCCCGTCTCTACTAAAAACACAAACAAATTAGCCGGGCATGGTAGCGGGCGCCTGTAGTCCCAGCTACTCGGGAGGCTGAGGCAGGATAATGGCATGAACCCAGGAGGCGGAGCTTGTAGTGAGCAGAGATCAGGCCACTGCACTCCAGCCTGGGTGACAGAGCAAAGACTCCGTCTCAAAAAAAAAGTTCAACTTCTTCCTAATAGTTTTTCTGCCATTCCACAGCTATTTCTATGAATACCTTCTACCTAAGGGAGTTTACAAAAGGAGTCATCTTGAATTTATTTTGTTATACATTTTTCTGAAGAAGAGGAAGGAAATGAGGGTAGATGGAATGTAGAAGAGAATATGGTTTACTTCCTATTAAGTGGGAGCAGGTACGGAAACCTGACTTTATCTCTCTTCCTCTCTCAACTCCAGAACCAATACCAGTGGGGACAGGAACTAAAGCAAAACCTCAGAGTCCTCCTCCCAAAGACAGGAGAGCACCAGGGGCTTTTTTTCTTAGAGACTGTGCCCCCCGTCTGATTACATGCCTTCTGTCTACCCTCCATGCATGAAGTTCCCCACTGTTTTCACTCTTCTTTCCTCATGGTATATATTATGATTTCACTTTTGGTGGCCAGTAATAGTTCACTCTATATATAGAGTTGAGCACTTACTATGAACTGGACACTCTTCTAGATGCTGGGAGTTCAACAGTGAACAAAGACAAAAACCCCTGCCTTCAGCTTTGTGCAGTAGCAGTGTCATAGCCAATGAAGTTTATCTGAGGTGATTATTGCTAATTGCAAAAAACCCTGCCTTCCAGGAACTATTCTAGTTAAGGAAGACAGATGAGAAGAAAAGAAGGAAAACATTTTCTATGCTAGATGGTGTTAAGCACTAAGCAGAATAATAAATTTGGGAAGAGGTAGAAGAAAAATGTAGGTTACAGTATGGGCTAAGTTGTAACAAAGTGTTCCAAATATATAGTAAATTAAATGGAAGTTTATTTCTCACATATGTAAATTTCTTACCATTGGAGGTACGGGGCATGGTAAAATGTCTGGGGCATATCTGCTCCAGAGTCATTCAGGGACCTAGGTTCCTTCTCTCATTACTCTGTTGTTCCCTGAGGTCTTCATTTGCATCACTGAAGCTGGATCATTGGCATTTCTGGGGTCTGGCCCAAAGGAAAGCCGCTGTGGGGTGGTATGGAGAGAAAGAAAAGAAAAGTATAAGGTAACAATTTTCTTTCAGGCAAATGAGGAAGAAGTTACACAAATTAGTTCTCTCACATATCATTACTGAGAACCTAGTCACATGGCCATACCTAGCTGCAAGGGAAGTTGGGAAATGTAGTCTTTATTGGACAGCCTGGAGACCAGAAAGAAGAGAATAGATTGGAGGGGACATGGGAAACGGGCAGTCTATGACACCTTATGTATGAAGATAGAGATGGTGACTTATTTTTCTTAATCAATATTCAAAGGAAAATAAATCATTCGGACCAATCTCTTACTGACATTGAAAACCAAACTGGAGCCAGTTGTTCTTCTCTTCTGGCTTTCCTCAATCCTGCACACCCAGGAATACACACAATCAACCACAAACCCTTTAATGAGCCCAGAACATACCAGAACATGAACCTGGCATGGTACCAAATGCTGTGTTTGGGTGTAAATCTAGAATTTTCAAAGTATCTGATTCACCCATTGTCTCTGCCTTGGAGAGACTACACACTCAGCAAGGAGACAAGCTTCAGGGGCTGGAGTGTGGAACAGGATAAATAAGCTCATTCAGTCACACTCCCATCCATTCTTCCTTCCATTCGAAGTGCATTTACTGTGTACCGAGCATATTTCAGTCATTGTGCCAGGTATGGAGAATACAAAAACAAAAACACAATCCTTACTTTTAACAAGTTTATAATCTATGGGGAGAGTTGAAAGACAAACCTGCAATTATACAGTCATGGGGTAATTGCTGTAATTGGAAAGTACATAAGAGAAGGTGGTAGGAAAGGGGTCCTGGAGGTGACCTCATATGTCATATGAGGGTGTCTGTGGGTGTGTGCGTGTGTCAGAAATGAAGGGGAAAGGATATACAGTGAGTTTTCTAGGCCGAAGGAATAGCTTGTGCAAAGGTCAGGAGGGAAGGGTTGGGGACAGAGACCAAGGTTAGAATTTAGAATGCAAGTTGGAAAATGCCAAGAGATAAAACTTCTGAGAAGCACTCAGACCATATTAGAAAGCCATACAGAAAAGTGTAGCTTGTGTCTGCAGACCAAGGGAGAAGACCATGGAGGGGTGGGAAGAAACTGGAGAGGTGAACCAGAAAGGGACTATTGCCCATTGGCCCATAGATACGTGAAAGGTGCTCAATATCAAATATCATTAATTAATTGGGGAATGCCAATTAAGACAAGAGACACTGTTTTCACCCTTCAGATGGATTACGAATACTATGTTTGATAATATCAGGTGTTAGGTGATAATGCAGGGAAAAGGGAGCTCCAATATTCTGCTGGTAGGATTATAAATTTCTGTGTATTGACCACGTCTTTTATTTTCTGTATTTTGATGCTTTGACATTTGGGACCTTGGTGACCCTCAAGGGGCTGCCCTTCCCAGAACTAGACAATTCCTAGAGATGGTAGACTACACCCCCTCCCACCCTCCTCTATGAGCTGTCACACTCAGGACCACTATTCTCTGGCCCTTATCACCCCAGGTCCAGGTACCAGACAACTAGGCACAGCCCCTATGCCCCAGAGTCCACTGAAGCCATTCAAACTAGTCCGCTGAAGCCATTCAAACTAGCCCATCTTAAATCTGTTTACACTGCCTCACCTATTCCTTCCCGTGAAGGTACAATAAAGGCTCTTGTCCATGTTCCCCACCACACTCTCACTCCTTCTGCCTCTAGACCTACCTGGTGCTTCCCCACGTGGCCCTGCATGGTGTGCCATACCCCTGCCTCTAGGCACCTCTGACTCTAAAAACGTTTTCCTTCATGACAGTCATTTCTATGTCTGTGTGTCTTAACATACCTAATTAAAACAAATCCCAGGCACTTTTAGAACAGGCCACCACTAGCAAGGAGGGGAGGCTGGGCACAGTGGCTCACTTCTGTAATCCCAGCACTTTGGGAGGCCAAGGCGGGTGGATCACAAGGTCAAGAGATCAAGACCATCCTGGCCAACATAGTGAAACCCCATCTCTACTAAAAATACAAAAATTAGCTGGGCATGGCAGCACACGCCTGTAGTCCCAGCTACCCGAGAAGCTGAGGCAGGAGAATTGCTTGAACCCAGGAGGCAGAGGTTGCAGTGAGCCGAGATCGCACCACTGCACTCCAGCCTGGCAAAAGGGTGAGACTCCATCTCAAAAAAAAAAAAAAAAAAAAAGAAAAAAAAGACGAGAAAGGGACCCTGCAATTGCACTGCTCAGCATCTACCCCTAAAGAAACCCTGATGCATTCACTTGGATACTTCGTCTACTAAACAAAGATGGTGCCAGTACTTACTTCACACAACCATTAAGAGGAATGGCATTATTCCTGAAGAGCACCTAGCACATAGTAAGTGCTCAGGAAAGTAGATCCAAAGATATTTACTGTAGATATTTTTCTAAAAGTGGAAAATTGGAAATAAGCTGAATGATGGAATGACTAAATAAATTGTGGTCTAGTCATACTAACGAACACTATGTAGCCATTAGAAATAATTTAGATTTCCACCTAAGAACAGGAGAGCTCTGTGAAACATTGTTGCTGAGCAAAAGAAGCAAATTGTAGAACACAATGTACAGCAAGATACAATTTATGGAAAGGCAATACCATAGATTTTCTATGGATTTATATGAACACAAAAGAAAAAAGTCTGAAATGATTAACCGCAGTGGGGTTACATCCAGGTTAGCGTGAGCAGATTGAATTGTTCGGGAAGGGTGGTCAAAAATACTTTAGTTTTATTGCTATGACTTTTATTATTTCAGGGGTGGTGAGGAGATTATGTAATACTAGGGTAATTAGGAACTAATTTGAAATTCACAGGATGCGAGAAAAAAGATAAACAAAGAGGTTAGAAAGTGGGAATGAACTTGGGGCTTAATGAGATGGAGTTAACTTTGAGAATACCATGAAAAATAGAAATAATAAGATCTGTCTCATAAGGGGTTCTTTGACTGAAGGCTTTCCCTTGGACGAAGAAGGGAGGGATGTGCAATAATGTTAACTGCTAAACTCGTTTGCCATTTTGTTAAAGATCAACCTTGAGCTCCCCTCCAGAGCTTCCCCTCCTCGTAGGAGGTGGGATAAGAGCCCCCTCTGTCCCTCCCTGGAAGTTTCCTCATTCCACACTATATCCTTAGCTGCGAGTTGGCTGGTTTCCTGTGATAATTAGGGTGGGTTAAACTGCCATAACAGATAAGGCAAAACATGTAATGACTCCAATGTAATAGAAGTTTCTTTCTCTCTCATAGGACAGTCCAGGGTGATGAGGGAGGGGCATAAATTGGGGAGTTGAGGATGAGTGGAGCTGGGGCACAGCAGTCCTTCAGGAACCCGGGCAGAAAGCAACTTTGTTCCAGTCAACACATGGTTTCCAAGAGTTTCTGGTCTTTGCCATTTCAGCTGTGTTATAAGATTTAAAGATGGCTGGACACACCACAGTGGCATTTGGATAGATGAAAGGTAGAATTATTTGTTACTTACAGCTCCAAACAAGAAAAGACTGCCACACAGGGCCACACAGAGATTGCACCAGGACTGTTTGGGCCTGTTTATGTACGGCAAGTGGAATGGGGTTAGCTAGGTTTTGTGGACTCCCTGTGAACTGTCTGATTTGAGTAATTTGAGTAATTTCAGGGGGCTGTGGAGGATAGTGGTTACCTCTGGTTGTCTGGTACTCAGGGCAACCAGGGCAGTGGCCCCATATGAGTGCCCAAAAAGGGAATTGGTTGAGTGATTGGGGTTGTGGACTCAATCAGCTAATCAAGAAGCAGAACTGACCAGCCTTAAGACAGGGCCTCAAAACTTGGGTCAAGACAATATTATATTTATATAATATATAAATATATATGTGTACATATAATGTATATTATCTATATTACAGTATACATATTTATATATGTGTTACATATATTACTATATATAATTATTATATAATATGTAATATATTGCATAATATATAATTATGTATATTATATAACTACCTATTCTATAATATGCAATATAATATAATTAATTATATATAATTATAAAATTATATAATCAATTAATTATAATTAATATAAAATATATAATTAACATATAACATAATATACAATTTTGTATGTTATATATTATATAATTTTACACAAAATTAAAATTATATATTTTACATAATTATGTATTATATAATATGTGATATATAATGTATTATATATTATATAATATAAATATATATTATACCTTATATAATACAAATATATATTACACATAAATATTTATATAATTAGATATAATACATACCATTATATATAATGTATTATTATATGCATATAATTATTTTTCTTACATCAGCCCGTGGGGAGAAAGGATAAGTCATACATGGGCCAGGCCCCAAAGTGGCCCACATCTATTCTGCCCTCATTCCATTGACCATAATGAGGTCACATGGCCAACTAGTCACATGGTCTCACGTAAGTGCAAAATGACCTGGGAAGTGTAGTCTCAGGGACAACTGTTCCTAAGGTTGAAAGGAAGTTCAGATTTCAATGGGCAACTAGCTGACTCTACCAAAGGGCTGTAAATTAATCTACACTCATAATTTATTTGCTGTTTTTTTCTTGCTTTGTTCATATTTGTTTCACCTGCTTACATGGTAAGCTCCTTTAGGGCAAGGACTATGATGTTCTCTTGCTTTGGATGCTTTCCCCAGCAATTAATTCTGTATCCAGTGGGGTTCTTAATGGATAAGCTTCTCATTAAACAAGCCCCAAGTAATTTCAATATGCAAAGGTAACTGCCACTTCAGAGTCAGTGTAAATGTCTGATACTTAGAATATGATTTCAGCTAGTTAAATTTATATCACTGGGGTAAAAAAACAACAACAGAAATATTCTCTGGGCCTTTCACTTTTTTATTTAATTCTGAATTGGATAAAATGCTTCCAATAACTTTAAGCTTTGGACTCTGTATAGCAATATTTCGTTCTTG